TCCAAAAATTATATATATTAATATTTTAAAAAAAAAATTTGAGAGTGGGCCATGGCCTACCCAAAAGTGGGCTGGATCTGCCCCTGGGTCTGGTCCCAACCCAATTCTGTTTGGGCCAGTGTCAAAATTCATAGCATGGTCCAAAACATGCGGCCCAAATCCAGCCTCTCTCTAGAAAACATCTCTCTAGAATGGGCATCATTGATAGCCCACCTAAGGCTGGGCCTTCCATACTAGGGTAATTAGGACTCTTCCTATTTGGGTTCTATCCTAATTCGCCCAAGATTATGTATCTTAGGTGAATTAGGACTCTTGATACTAATGAGGCAACTGAACAAGGATCTTTCATATTCACTGAACCTCTATCATTGTGGATTCAAAGTCCTACTAGGATACGAAGATCTTACAACTAATATATAAACAATGGTCACTCCTCTACTTAGGCATTCAATCTCAATATTATCTACTTGCACCCAAGCTCTTACTCCTAAGAGTTATACACCTACACTGTGGTTCTAGTCTCCGACTAAACTTTTGGTAACCTTTCCTTCCCTTAGCCTTTACTAAATTGCCTCATTCAACCTTACTGGCTTGAGCGTCGGAGTGTCTACGATAGAAACCACATTGGTATTTACGTAAGCTTCGTGCTTGTTTGCTTTGTGTGTAGGTACAATGGATTGTTAGTAGCCTTAACCTCACAGTATCCATCCTTCTTTTTGTATCCATAGATTTTAGCATCTACAACTACCCCATATAATTAACCACTTACACCTCTTACCATCAATTTTTTGTGTTAAAATTAAGTAAGGGAAGGAGAAAAAAAAAAGACCTTATATTTTAAAGTAAGAAGAATTATAAATTAAATATTTCAAAATAACAAAAGTATTCAGAAAAAGTTTTTTAAAATAAAATATATTAAAGATTTAATATTATTTTTTAAATAATTTATTCTTTTTCAAAGAAGGTGTCCGCCGATCTCTTATGTTGAAACCACCATTCTTAGATCGTTTGAAAAACAACATCTTCTTTAAAATAAAAAAAATGAAAAAACTCTAAATTGCTGGCAAAGACTGAAGAGTGTTAAGTGACTGATTAAGAGGGGGTAAGTTATCAATTCTATATGTTGCAGGGGGTGTAAAGGAAATAGCCTCAACAGAGCCCTAACGAAGGTTAAAAGAGTGGGGTGTTTGTGCTAACCTAATAATCTAATCTATGCGCTTGTGAAATGTTTAAACCTAAGGGGAGGTTTGGTAAATAACTCATCTAAATTACTAATTTAACCTTCTTGTCAAGTCTTAAGTCTTAACTTAACAAGAACCAACAAATTAAAAAAAAAATTCAACTTGCTAATTTAACGTTTTAGGTCAAATGTTAATAGGAACAAGCACATTTCAAGCTATTAGCTTAGGTGGTGTTTGTTTCTTTATATGAAAATTGAATAGAACTGAATTTGTTTAAAAACTTAACAGATCTGAATAAATCTGAATAGTTAAAAAATGAAAAATAAAAATTACGTTACATTCGCATTTAAGTTGAATAAACAAAGAGGGACCTAACCTTTTGCGTAATATTTTTAGTCTTAATATAAGAAGAATGAATAAGATATAAAAAAATAAAAAATAAAATAAAAAATCTTAAGGTACGAGCCCAACATTTTATTACCATTGTTAACTTGAAAGAAAAACAAGGGTCAAAAAACGGTTTTCATTTTGATTTTACAAATCATTTTTCTACCTTTATTTAGATGAGTAAATCACATTTTTCTACCCAAAAAGTTTCAAAATACCATTTTCTTACCCAAAGTTTATATTTCATTAATACCTAAAACCGATTTTGACAGCGATAATTCTCTTTGTCACCGCCATTTGAATTTTTGGTCTCTTCTCTATAAAACCTCTTTCACTCTGACACCTGATTTCTCACCGATTGCCGGGCATTGTAAAGGTAGGTTTTTTTTATTCTTAGTTGATTTCTGACTAATTTTGACTGTGAATATTCAATCGGTCACCACCATTCGATGTACTGGTCTCCACTCTATAAAATTTCTCTTACCCTAACTCGTAGTAACTCGTTGAATGTCAACTAAGAAAATGAATTATATTTTGGATATTAACAGAATATAAACTTTGGGTGAAAAAATGGTATTTTGAAACATTTTGAGTGGGAAAATGTCGTTAAGGCAAACATTGGGTGAAGTGAAAACTATTTTTCATTGTGATTTACGTGTTTCGAACTCATTATTTTATCTTAATCCGTTCATAAGATCATTCAAAGTTTTTATATTTAATTAATTAAGAAAAGATTATCACTGCACGTGTATAAATATTTGACCGAAAACGACAATATATACGACGTTGAATGAAATTTCATTCGACTTATTATTCTCCCGAAATGGGGGGAAAAAAAAAGTTCCACATGCATGTATCATGTGAATTGGGTATGGATGTAAGTATGTAACATCTAATTTCAATTCACTTAACATTTTTATTTCTTTTGTAATTAACTATAATTAGACCTGCATGCAGTCAAGTCTAATCAATTGAATTGATTGTCGCACTTGTGTATAAAAGACTCGACCATTGCCGACACAGTTGAATTAACGTTGGGATTGTTTGAATCTAAAGTCTAAACCTATTTTAATTAGGAAAAAAAAAAAGGAATTCAACGACAGTCTTATAATTAATTTAGAACTGGGGATTATATAATAAGCATTTGCATGCGAACGCAAACTTTGAAAACGTGCAATGTTCGCATTGCCATGAAGATTATTGAGAGAATCTTCAACGAGTTTCACCTGAACAAATCTAGGAGTTCATTTTTGAGTTTGGTAAATGTGAGGTTTTGTATAGTCAATAGTTTCAGCTCCGTGGACAATTTTGATCTCAACATTAATTTAAATTTCTAAAGTTTTGAATTTGGTCGGTCAAAGATTATATTCTCGTATATTTTTTTAATTAATATAAATACAAAATGTCACTAAATATAACATATAAAATATTTTTATAATAATAAATCAAAATTACCATAATTTATAAATATTAAAATTAAATATTTTTACAAAGCACGTGGGTTGGCCTATGGCACAACCCAAGACACGACACGATATATAGCAAGCTGTGTTGTGGGCCTTCAAATTTGGTGGGCCGGCATAGACAACAAGGCACAAATTTTTGTGGGCCTTGGCACGACACGACCCACGGCATAATAGGCCTTGAATTTTTAAGCACGACACGACTTACCGCCACCTCTAGCTTCATCCATCAAAACAAAAGTGCGATGATATATGTCAAGGTGCATGTGAATTACTTCACATCCAAGCTTGCCCTCAGAACATTATAAATAGGGGTTCTTCACCTCAAACCGGGGGCACGATAATCTCATTTCAACAAGAACGCCACAATAATAGTTTCTCTATAGCAAATACTCTTTATAATCTCAAGCAATAAAATAACAGGAAACGTAAGAATTATTCTGTGTATCCAAACTACTTTAAAAATCGCTCTTGTCTATTTTTCTGCTTTCTTTATGCATTTATTGCTTTATACCTTATTTTTACACACATAAACCCCAATGAATCATTTGGTTCAGCATCATATTTGCTATTTCACGGTTTTGCACTGATCCTTTGTGCAAACTTCCCAAAGGCTTTAGTACTGCTCATTGTTGCGAAAAACCGCATCAACATAATCCACCTCATAATCTACTAACTCTCAACAACTATTAGAATACTTGTATAAAAGGGGGCGCCACCTCCAATTAGGGGATCCCTGGAGAAAAAAAGAGACACCCCGTAATACAGAGAGAAAAATGCCTGCTTAGTGAAGTATTCTCAGCTCGCTGAAGCATATCATATCTACCTACGCCATCAACAAGAGACCATTAAATCACATTACACAAAAATATGCATAATGTGGTTCAACATATATAACTTGTCTGCGTAAAATATTAAGACAAATAAATCTTCAGTTATACAAACTCCACATTACTCGGTATCTAATTTTAAACCACCTTTCCCTAGTTAGTTTAGTTAGGGAGTGGGCTGTCTCTTTTGTGAAGGATTGTATATCCTTAGTCTCCTTGTTCCTTTGGGGTGAGCTTTCCCTCGCTTGTTCCAAGGTAGCTTAGTTCGGCTTTCTCCCGTCTTTAGGATGTAATTCTTTAGTTCAAATCTTATGCCACTTGAGCACTTCAGTGTAAACAACGTTCTGAGTTTGTTAAATATTGGAACCATTGAATTGAGGACCAATTCTTTATATCTTAAATTTAGTAATAAGTACGGGTTTGAAGGATGATTGGACTAATTATATTTTTGCTTTCCGTAATAATCATTTCAATAAATACAATCGTAAACATATGTTTATAATCTGAACTCATGACTTTTTGGAAGTTGTTTTCTATAATTGTGAAGGGATCATTAATTAATCCTTGAATTGAGTCTTCTATTTTCCCAAATAAGAGGGATTTGGAATGATTCATAAGGTTTTAATTAGTTTAGTGGTCCTCTTCAGTTGTCTGCCATTGTCTTTTTTACTTATCACCAACTAAGATTAAACCGTACTTTCTTTGATGAAATATTCTGATATTTCATGTCCCCAGTCCCCCACCAGCCTCAGCCTCAGCATTATTCTAGCTTTTCGAAGGCAACGGCTACTCATTATTAAAAATTACCTAACTCAAAGATGGATGAGCTCAAAGCTTTCCTCTGTTGGCATTTTGTAGTTTACGACTTTATTCACGAAGTCCAAATAAATTAATATAACACCAATTAACCAAGACAAAGACAAAGAAATAAGAAAAGTGCTTATTTTATTTTTCCTATATCACATATTTTACAATGATATAATATTGCAGCCACAACCACAAGCAAAAACAGAGATGCCACAAATTCATGGCAAAACAGAGATGCCATAAACTTGCGGCAAAATCACTACATAGTAGTAAAAACCTTTTGTCTGCAAAATTTCTACATAGTAGAAAAACTTTGTGATTGATTAAACTGATTACAGGGGTTCAACTATGAGGGGCAACCCATGGGTCGGTCTAAGAGATAGCACAATCGAAGGCGCATGGTGATAATTTGGGGAGAGCTTCACAGAAAACCTCGATAGAATTTTGGTTAAAACAGCCTTATACTCCATCATGGCCAAGTTCCGAGCAACACACATTCTCCCTCCAAAACCAAAAGGCAAAAAACCCATCTTGTGTTTGCACCCACCGTATAATGGATCGTCCCTAAACCTCTCTGGCTTGAACTCATTCACGTCATCGCCCCACAAAGCGGGATCATGATGCATGGCCACCACATCAATCCACAAATTGGTTCCTTTGGGAACCACCACGTCATCAACTTTAATATCTTGGCGCGCTTGCCTTTGCGCATTTGGTGCCGGTGAATATAGCCGTAGAACTTCGTTCATCACCCATCCCATCTGCAACAAATGAACACATTTTATGAGTAAATATAAAATATTTATTCAATATAAACATCGTACTTGCAGAAACACGGAGAGGTTGGATTTGGGCGGCAAGCAGTAGAAAATAATATTTTGAGTTTAGACTCAGCGTGGACCAAACAGAGAAGTCGACGGCTCAAGGGGCGGCCAACGTTGATTTTTGGTTTGATTGAGTATAACAAATATTACGTGGGTGTAAATCTTATCGGAGCTTTGGAAGAGAGGGTATCTAGGCCAAATACTGTTAACCTGTTAAAAGTTCTAAATAATGGTTTATTTGTCGCCAAGTGAAGTGTGCGTGAAGATGACACAAAAATAGTGCTATTTTGCAAGCTATTTATATGACATTCATCTGACATCATCGTTTTTAAGCCAAAACATGTCTTTATAGTTTATTCACGCGCTTCAACGCGTGGACTAAAACATAAGCTTTTTTTTTCGCGGTTTGACCTTTGACGAATGACTCCTTTAAATTATTTAATAATAATATTTTTAATTTATTATATATTATTTTATATAATGACAACATTAGTGTTTTCCTTTTTGGTCAAGATACAGAATGACAACTGACCAGTTTGTTGTTTTCTTTTTTTGGTCATAAAATATCTTACGCATTATAAAATTGTCTGATATTAAATAAATAATTGTATTAACTACGCTTTTTGGTAGACTATCTAATCCAGCTCATCTCCATAGCATACTCGACTATTCATATTGGGGCTTTTAGTGTCAACCACCCATAGCTGAATCTGAATCCTCCTTTCTTATTAGACACAAATCTTTTATCAAACTATTACACAAAGAAAATATAGCATAGCTATAGCTTCTCAACTACTTTCTGTTAAGTTGTCATTCTTCATCTTTTCATCTTTTTTTTTTAGGTGTTTTTTGTTCTTCAAGCGCAAGGCTGCACTTGAATTCTTCTGTACTTCATTTATCTATGTCTATTGAATAATATACCACCAATCAGTAATATCAAATTTTTTATGTTGAAAACTTATTAATTATGAAGAAAGAGAATGGCATTATGATCATGAGTTCGAGTGGTGATTGTAATTATGAGAGTTTTAATAGAGTTAAAAAGACTCCTTCTCACCCGAATATGGCTTAATGACACATCTCATCCATAGACTTTTAAATATTTCTTATTACTTAAATTTATATTCCGGCAGTGATAGAGAGCAAACTCCATCCAACCTGTTGGGACTTTTAAAGGGGGGGCCGATGAGTCTTTTGGTGGTGAAATATTCATTTTGGTGATTAAATTGATCAAAATTTACTTGGGAGGTGGTTGCTCAAACTTTAATCCTCGATTGGAGGGGCGGGTAGGAGTAAGGTTTGAGGGGTTTTGGTGAGTGATTATTGGAGAAGAGAATGTTCAAAATATGGGTCGCAACATGTCGATATGAAACAAATATAAGTTTGGATATAAAGTTATATTTTAAGTCTGTGGGTAAAAAGTTCATTAAACCATTATTTGGGTGGGAAAAGTCGTTTACTCTTCATAAATATAATCATACTTGTCTTCATATTCTCATATTCATGATCTATAAATTTTATCTTTATATTGAAAGTCAAAATTTAGTCGATAGTTGATATTTTAGTCAAAACATATTTTCTTTCTTCCTTTGTTTTCATAATTGTTGTGTTAAATTTTTTTTTTTTTTTTTTTCTCTCTCTGACTCAGTCTATTTCAACTAAGAAAGATGGAATTTAATTAGTTCTTCACCATGTCACCAAAAACTCCAAAAGTGTTAGGAATAGGATGATTCTTTGTAAGGATTTTTGGACGAATATTGTATTGACGTAGTTCTCATGATATTTACTATGTTCAAATTAAGTATTGTACATTAATCATCATGGATGATCTATGGTAAAAGAGCAAAAGAAAGTTCTATGAGCTCCTAAGTTTGATTCCCTTAAGCACTAATAAGGATAACCATTAGAGTTTTTACTCAATTAGTATTTAGCGGCACAGGGATTAGTTGAAGTGTATGTCACTATGAGGATGACTATTAGAGCTCTTATTCGGTCAATAGTTTTAGAATCTTAAGGATTATGTGAGGTGTGCACAACGGACCTGGACACCCCATGATAAAAAAAAAAAAAAAATGTATTTGTACTATTCAAATAAATTTTCCAAATCTAAATTGTGGAAAATAAATTGACTTTGCGATAACATGGAACATACGTAATTAATACATTCTCTCTCTCCCTCTCTCTCTTTGCATATTTTAATTAATGAGAGTTTCCATAATAATATGTAGGCATATTAATTTGATAAATATATATACATTTTTAAGAAATAAAAAAGGATAAAAATGTATGAGAATTTAAGGCTCCGTTTGATTCACTTTTTTGCATTTTTTTAGAAAATTTTTTAAAAAAAGTTAAAAAAATTGAATTAGGCGGTTATTACGATGTAGGATTTGAAATTAATAAAAATACCCCATATGTTTGTTTATTTACTAAACACGCCTATAATAAAACTTTAGAAGTTAACAAAACCACCCCCAACCCACCCATTGAATATCACAGCCGACCACCACTGTCGGAGGGTGGTCGGAATCGCCGTATCGGCGCATAACTGGCTGGATCTTGCCGGTTGTGAGTTGATACGCCTTTGCCGGCCAGATCTACGACTGATCTGGCCATTGACGGCCAATCTGGCCGCATTTGCTCGTCAACGATAGCCAAGGTACGGCCGTCATTGATGGTCACAACAATCATATTTTGGCCGTCGTTGACGTCTGGTTACTGCCTTAGATCTGGCCTTTTTCGACCAGATCCACTATGGATCTGGCCGGAAAAGGCTTGATCGACCGGTAGTGCCCCATTAATCAGATTCCGGCCAACTTCCGGCAGTGGTGGCCAGAATCTGGTATAATGTGGGTTTAGGTGTTTTTTGCAATTTTGAAAAAAAATATTTAGGGGTATTTAATTAAATTAACAAATTTAAGGGGTTTAAAAAAGTTGATATTATAGATAATATTGTGAGTTTTTGAGCATTTTACTGTTTAACTTGTGGAATACTAATTAGTATTCCCAAAAACCAACCAACAGCCTATGTCTTTGGAGAAAAACATTTACTGGGTGATGATTCTCCAAATGTATTGAAGCCCTTAATTGTCTGAAATTAAAATTGCCTTTAACTATCGGCTAGAACAAAGAACATTAATAGACGATCTGAATAAAAACTATTTGACTATTTAAAAAAAATCTTCAAAATGTGAAAATGGTCCAAGAGAAATCAGGTGAGTAGAGTAAATATTATCAACATACACACTTACAATTAAATCTCACAAATTTATCTCATAACCCCAACGTGATAACTTGTAATTGGTCAGTTTATAAATAGTCCCTACTTGCTTGTTATAGTCTCATCTATCTAATTGCAAACTGACTAATTCGTTGTAAACCAATTTTTATCCAATATATATATAAAAGAAACCTTTTAAATTAAATCATTTGACATCCGATAACTAATACAAACTCCATCTTTATATTAAAAGAAAAGTGCAGTCCTTGTTAATTAAGAACAATAATTCTCTTTGAAACTAACAATCGTACACAGCTGAAAAGAAATAAAGAGTAATAAATTTCTTTCCCACTACTCCGTATACTCTTCATTTGGTCATCAATTATCTCTTGTTCTTGTGTGAAATCTGTGCTTGAAAAGAATCAAGAGAGTACTCTCCACTAATTGTCAATCTTTGAATCCCTAAAATTTCGCTGCGTCTTTCATTTCAAACAATATATTATAAGTGGTACAACATTAATCACAGAAAGAAATATAGAGAGGCAGTTGCCGTCCAATTAGCTGATAAACTACTTCTAGAAAAAGTTGATATTTTTCAGGTTTTTCAACTATATATTTTTTTTAAGTTTAACATGTCGTGAAGGTTTTGTATGCTTGTAATTTCTGTATATGAAGTGGATATTCACTTAGTCGGCTGGAACTGAAAGGATTCGAACTTAAGTAAATAAATTATAAAAAAACTTATGATTGTGTACTAGAATTAGAAAATATTAACTAGAACAACAACAGCTGACTCGATTGTTTGTCTTGATCATTTGAATTTTAATTCACATTACAAACGTGAAAGTGTAAATGTCATGTGGCAAGTATTTTCTTGAGTATTGAGTTACAATACGTAGTTAAAATTTGATAGTAGTTCATTAATTTGGATCTTTTTCTCAAGTTTGTTCATCTAAATAGCATGACTAGGATATGTTTAATTTTAATTCCTTTTATTAGTATTAATTGTAGTAATCACAAGTTTGATATATGTATCGGGTGTACATACTAATGCAAATTGATTTGTATGATAAAATTTCATCAAAATCTGCCTGCTTACACAATATATATATCTATATATATATATATAGTAAAATATATCTCTATAATCATAATGGAAGGATCTACTAATTATTACATAAAAGAGGTTATAATTTAATGGAGGTGTAGTTACAAAAGTTATTGTTTTGATTTCTTATTTTATAATTCACGTTTTCGTAGTATGTATTATATTTCATTAATTGTTTTAGTAGTCATTGCTGCAATTAAATAAGAAAGAAAAGAAATAATTCTGAGGATAATAATACAAAAATACAAAACGTTTCATACTAATAACTTTAAATATACTTGAGAAACTATAAATGTTTGGCTTCAACAATAAGATATATATGCTAACGATTTATTATGTACCCACAAGTTAAAAGATAAGTATAATTTAAAGCATAATTCATTGTCTTAAACACTTAATAAATATTTATTTCATCGTAAACCTTTAATAATATAACATTTTTTTTTTATAATATATATATTATTACTATGTAGAGACAATTTTCAGAATTAACAAATTATAACTTATTATAATATGAGTTTATTCTTATTACAATTATCTTAAATTGAGACTATAATTTTTTATAATTATATAAGACTTTTTCTAATAAAATATTACTATAAAGAGGTT